TGCCTCCAGGTCCTTCCAAGCCCGGCTCAAACCCCTCCAGAGCATCACCAGAGCGATATGTGGGAAAAGACACAGAGCCTTTATTCCCCGAGATCTCCAATGGGCCATCTTGCCATCCATCAAATTACTAAGTATTCTGCTCATACCTCTTGTTTCATTTTTTTTGCTTATTCACTTTAGCACATTTCATCTTCTGGATTTTTAAAAACACTGTTTGTGTACAGGTTGTATGTGAACATCTTGAGGTCAGAGATTGTATCTTGTTCATTTTTACGTCATCACCCACAGTGTTGGTCCATTGTAGGTGTTCATTGTATGTCTGCTGAATTAATACATTACTTTAAAAATACATGTATTTACTTGTGAAAAAATGCACCTGGTACTAATGATTTTTTTCATTGACATATACCTTTCCCCATCATACCAACCTATAGTGCCATTCTCAACGTTACTACCCCAGGCCCAGACAAAGGAGAACACCTAGATCTCAGATCCAAAGATAGCATGCTCAATTTAAACACTGAAGGCACCTAGTGGGCTTCATAGCTAGAACTTCAGAAAACACTCTTTTTCAGACAAATGATTAAATCTACCCAGAAGACTTTCTTGAACTTAGTATGATCTCTTGATTTCCTATTATTATTGAACCTCTCCATGGTCTCTTCTGATGAATTACAGGTATCCTTCATTTATTTTTACTCTAAGTCATTTTTATGGAAAGTTTAAAGCCAGCTACAAAATGAAGGATACAATTTAAAAAAAAAAAGAGCTGCAGATAATATTTGATAGCCAGGAACTTTAGCAAAAGATGTGTCTGGAAACACTACCCTTGAAATCACGCACATGATGAAAAACAACCGGAACGATGAATTTTAATGCAACTAGGCAAAAACCCAAGGCCTGTCACACCAGCTGGTCATTCTTGCTTTAGCCATTAAAAGTGGCCTTTTTTGTGGCTAACAACAGAAATGTCGGTCAATCAGGCACAGCTGTAGGTCTGGGCTTGGCGCCCACTCTCAACTTTGCCCCCTCCCTTTATTTCCCCAGGCTAGGATGGAATGAAAGGGTCAGGATTGGCAGTAGGCACAGAGAAAGGGAAAACGAAGATGCCTAAATCCAGATGAGAGATTGATTGCTGTAGCATCTCAGGCCTTAGCCCATTAGGTAAAGTTTAACCCCTGCAAAGCAGGTCACTTGGCAAAAATGGAGGGAAAACACAAACTTCAGGTTGAAAGATAAGGAGGAAGCGAGGGGAGATGCTCTGCTGCATGCGGTGTTCCATTAATAGGTATCACACTCCATAATGGGGACATTTTTATACAAATGTGTTCTTTGGAATCCAGCCAAGAGCAGGGCACCCTAGTGAAATCACAATGCACAGCTAATGAGCTATTTTTGGTGAATTTGGCACTAGAGACTAATAGAACCAATTTGTCCCCAAAATGTTAAATCATTTAGCGCTTCTTTGGAGGTGCTAAGTACATCTAGAACTTTTCGGGGCTGTCAATAAAAATTAGAGACTACTCAGAAGCCTTCAGTCTTGGCTTGCAATCCTTTATCCTCAGATTAGAGGGCTGCTGGGCACCTGAGGAGGCTCTGAGCTAAGCCTGCTAGCTGCGGGAAGCAAGCGGTCGGACTGAGTGCAAATGCGCTCCCCTGACTAATGAGGCTAAAGACAGAGTGAGCCTTCCTCATCAGCCACGCTGTCAGCCCGTGGCTCACTGTGACCACTCAGATCATCTTCTTACTGCTTCCCACACGCTGCCATCCACTAATTCCCTTTGGCGGCACTGCCATTCTCTCAGGCCCATAATCTTTGGCCTTTTGACTCCTCTCTCACATTTACCATTTCCCCTTGAACTTCTCCTCCATTCCCTCTATACAAGCCCTCAGCCCTACACACCTGGATTTCTAATATCGTCTGCCAGAACTTCCTTCCACCAGCTTCCCTCACTTCCTGTATATTGATGGAAGATGAATCTTCATTAACACTCTCTCAATGTTACTCTCAAAACACTCTCAAAAAGTCACCTATTTGGAAACTTTCAATGGCTCCCTAGTATCTACCACATCAAGTGTGAACTCAGCCATCTGACTGTCAAAACCATTTATAAGATGACCCCATTCAACTGAGATAGCCTTATTCTCCAAGAGCTGTCTTACCCTGCGTGGCTCAGGAGAATCGTTAACCATTGTTGAATAAATAAACCCCTGCCACTGCTCACCCTGGAGCCCACTAGAAAGAGTGAGCAAGTTACACACGGCTGCCAATGTGAGAAACACTAAAACCTGCAATTGAAAGCATCTGCCCTTGTGAATCACATTTTGGAGGTTAAAAAATGATATTCATTTTCTTGATCTATGACCCATTCAACCTACTCCCACAAAAAAGTCCCTCTTTCCACAAAGCCAAATCTGGTGTAAATCTATGAAACTGATTTTTTCTCCTGCAGGAACAAATAAATGCAATTTTATCAAGATGGCTGGTTGTCCAACACATGTCCTCTGCTCTCATCAGACTGGTCTCGTGTTCCATGAACACCTGCAGTCATGCTGCCTCTGTGCCTTCACATGTGCTTTGTTCTTCTTGGCATTCTCCCTCCTCTCCACTCTATCCATCCAGATCCCATTCTGTAAGGATTAGTTCTAGCTCCGCCTCCTCAAATATGCTTGCCCTAAACACCCTGTCCTCCAGGACTTTATTCCTGAAAACAGTGTGTACAATACCACTTACCACTAAAGCTTAATTCTCTCTAGTGCTGACTGCCGATCACTTCATGGGAGTCATTCTTGCTTCCTCAAGGAGAGTCATTATTTAAACTTAAATTTCCATGTAATGCTATGGTCAGAGCAAGTGGCAAATAAATATCTTCTGTTGAGTCAATCCACTCATGTTTTAACTCTATTTCTATAGTGTCTAAAATAGTGCTGAGCATATAGAGGGGCTCAAAAATTCTAGTTAATACTTAGACACTTGCTTGAAGCAGTTTTTAGTCTACTCCAGATATCAGAACATTCTTTAATCTAACAGTATGGCTACTATGCTAGAGAAGACTAACTATCCTCCAAAACTTTGTGTGCCCCCTTCCGTTATATAGAGTTGTCGCTGAAAAGCAGCTGCTCTGTCAGGCATGACATTTCCCAGCCTCCTTGTACCTAAGCCATATAACTAGTGCTCACCAGTGGAACGTGAGCCAAGGTCATTTCTGGGCAAAGGTGGCTAAGGAGTGGATGTAGCTTGTCCACTCTCTTTCCTCCCAGCTGCCACCTGGATGCAGATCTCTTGACCCTTTAGAGGATGGTAGAGCCAGATGTTGGAAGGAATTGGTTCCCTGAATCAAGACGTGAAGGAAACTTCCTGCCGATTACATTGGACTGTTACATACAGGAGAAATAGACTTTTACAGTGTTTAGCTACTGAAAATCTGGGCTTGTTACAGTTAACTAATCCACTTACCTACCTCCGAATGAGTGAAATTGCCACTCAGGGGAAGAGCAGTTCAAGATGAGAAGCAATTAAACTCTCATGCATTAATACATGATGAGTTATCAAGCTGAAGGCTAATTGGCTTCCAGTGTGTGCCTCCACATTTAATGAGGAATTCAGGTATGTTCCACCGGTCCTAACAAAATGATTTTGTTGTATTTTCTAATATACCCAAACTCTCGGCTACAACTATTTTCTGAAGGTGCTTATATCTCCTATCTCCAGCCCAAACCACTTTCCTGAACTATATATATAATCACTGTGAGATAGCTTCGCTGGGTGGTCCACAGGCCCCTCAAACTCGGGATCTCTTATACTGACCTCATCTCCCTCTCCCACTCACCTCCACTACATTATTCCTCCTGCTGAATTTCCTATTTAAGTTAGTGGCACCACCACCCATCCAGGTGTTATACTTTTCTTGTCTCCCACATGCAACAAATGAGCAAATCCTGCCTCTTCTTGCCCTTCTCACTCTCTCTCACCCGCTTCCCTTACTCTCTTCTCCCCCCTCATTGCCAGTTTAAAACTCTAATCATCTCTTTCCTGAACCATAACCATGGCCTCCTAACTGGTTTGTTCTCTAGCTCAGTGGTACCAATGTTGTGCAGAGCATAATAATCACCTGGGGACCTTGTAAAAAATGCAGATTCGTGAGATCCACCCCCCACTTTCTGATTAGTGGGTCTAGGTGGAGCCTGGCAAGGTGATTCTGGAATGGGTGGTCCATAGCATATATTGTTATTCCCCTCTTTTTAGTCTAGTATCAACACCACCACCAAAGTTACTTTTTCCATCACACAAATCTCATTTTGCTCACCTGTGCAAATTCTGCAAAGGCTATATGATCAAATCTAAACTGTTTTGCATGTGCTTCAAAGCCCTTTGTGAGTTGGTTTCTGACTACCCACCAGCCTCATCACCCTCATTCTCCACCTCACCATTGATTCTCTAGTAATTGTGTTCTGACACCTCCCTAGACCTTTGCATGTTCTCGTACCTCTGCCTGATAGCCCTCCCCCAACACGCCACCTGACAACTCCTCATCCTCCTCCAAGTCTCAGCCCCAACAGTAACTTCTCTGGACAATGGGCCTGCACTCCCACAGACAAACTGGGCTCTTTCTGCTCTCGTGCTCCTTCTAACCAGTTGACCTACCTCTGCCACAGCCATAATGTGCTGCAATCATGGTGTGTGCATTTATCTTCCCACTGGACTATAATTCTGCTAAGGGCCACGTGACCCTAATCTATAGTTGATTGAAATGTTTAAATTTTGACATTACTGAAAATAACTTGTACAAGCCAAAAATAAGATTTCATTCTCTCTTCCACTCTCTTTTTTCCCGTCCAACTCTCCAGATTGTAAGTATTAGCTTTTTTTAGCTGAGGCTGAATCGATCATTCATTCCTTCTTTACAAATCTTAAGACAATCACAGCAAACAAGAAATTGGAATTTGACTTGCTGATGTTTAATTATTGATGTGGCCTTTTAAAAACACATTTGGTTCTCTGAAATGGTTTCTTGGAACTGTGCTCCATTTCTCATTGGTTCCCATTCTGTTTGTTCTTGGCCTCTACGTTTCTTTTCGATTTTCTGCAGGTTAGCAAGTGCTGCATGGTCTTCTTTTGAAATGTGTCTTTAGGCATGCTTTTGTTTGACGAGGAATGCCAAGGCTGAGCTGACAAAGTCTGTTTGAAAATCTTTTTCCAGGTAGACAAGATCAGTGAGCCTGTTCAATGTAGACTGTGATTAGAATTTTTCTTCAGATATTTATATCAACATTTCGGTTTTGGGGAGAGATGTTTCTGAGCCTACTTGTCAGACAGAAACTTTGAAAAGGTAAGGAACTCTATCATTTATATATTCAAATGCATAAATACATTTGTGACAGAGTTGACATCCTCCCCCAGACGACTAAAAACAAAGGAGGCTGGTTACAAGCTCACAGTCAGCACTCCTCCCACAGGCTGGAACAAACACCTTCTTGGGAGGGGCCAGCCCAGCGGCACAGCAGTTAAGTTTGCATGGCCCACTTCGGCGGCCCAGGGTTCACAGGTTCGGATCCTGGGTGTGGACCTATGAACCGCTTAGCAAGCCATGCTGTGGCAGGCATCCCACATATAAAGTAGAGGAAGATGGGCACGGATGTTAGCTCAGAGCCGATCTTCCTCAGCAAAAAGAGGAGGATTGGCAACGGATGTTAGCTCAGGGCTAATCTTCCTCAAAAAAAGAAAGATTGTACTGGGCTACATTTGTCTCTGTTACATTATATTTTATTAGTCATCCATTTCATTAATAAATATTCATTGATCACTTACTATGCACCAGGCACAGTTCCAGGTTCTGGGGATATAACTGCAAACAACACAAGCCCTGAACTCAAGGAGTTACAAAACAGTGAAGGCAGGAAAAGAAGCAGATTTGCTATCAACAAGGTCAGAAACAATAAGAGAACTTAAAGGCCCCAACATGTAAATAATAATAGTAATATCAGCTGTTTTAAATTCTTTGCAGAACAAGATGAGATGAACAAACAGAAAGTTAAATGAAGTTTGAGATTATATGTAGCTTTCTTTTGAAAAAAAAAAAGCATCTTAGACAATAATGTTTTTATGTTGTATAATCCATCATTTTTTCCCAGGGCAACAGTGATATAACTATGTTCCCTTCTCGATAGAGTCTTCTATGAAGAAGACCAAATTCATATACCATCTGATTCTGCCACTAAAATGTATGAATGGAAGATGCTTTTCCATTAAACATCACTGAGGATTAGTGAATCTTTCTTTCCTGTTTCCAAGTCCTAACCTATGACGGTAATGTACATCAATCCAACAGAGGAAGATGAGGGGAGAGAGGCAGGAAGGCTTACAAAGGCAGTTTGCACATCATGGAGGTCTGTCGGCCAGAGCCTCATTGCGATGCCCATCCTGGAAAGTACTGGTTCTATGTGCCGATCCTATCTTCACCTGAGATGCTTTCTATACACTGAAAGAAGAAAGAGAGAAAAGATGTGCCCAGTACATGGTTAAGTGGCTTATTTTCACGCCAAATCAGCTAAGTGATGAGTGCCATCTCATTTGAATAGCCTGTCCTGATGTTCCCCTCTAGCCACTGAAGACCAATGGCAATAAAGCAGATATTTTACTTTGTGTCTATTCACGGTAGTTTGGCTAACTTGGTGCAGCTGTTTCAGAGTCTTTCCCATAAAGAAGAGCTAAACTCATGCCAGATACTTGGAGGGCTACTTTAAGAAATGCGGCAAGATCATCCCTGTGATGTGGCCAGAGAAAATGTCAGAATCTGTACTAGTGAAGTGAGACAGAAAAAAAATAAATGTTATTTTAAGATGGACGAGTACAAACAACCCATCCATTTCATTTTGTGTTTCTGCTAGTTTTAACTGGACACATTATACAGAATCTCTTTTTCTGCAGAAATTCCGGAGTTATCCATGAATCCTCAAGATCAGAATACCTAATATACTTTGGGAGGTGTTACCATGCTCACAAATTCAAATAATAAAAACAAATAGGGCTTTGCAAAACATGTATAAAACCAACATACATGTTAATGCCCATGGTCTACCAGCGTAAGACAGAGGGCCCTGGAGAGAAACACTTCAGAATTCCATGACTACCCCGACTTCAGGGCTCGTTTCAGGAATGAAGAGTAGATAATCATTTGTTTCGAATGCACAGGAGGTGAGCAGGGAATTTGAAAGGTGAGGGAAGGAATATTCTTATTGGGGATAAAATGGAAATTATTTACTCTAGTGATCCTCATTATCCTGTTGATTTCCATCTTGCTGACACTAAGAGGTCCTCTTATCTGCCACCCAGCCCCTGCCCCCTGCTCTTACAATCCTCTCTTCCCTTTGATTTCGTGACACAAATTTGCAAGTCTGAAACTTATATTTCACCTGAAATATTAATATTCAAGCTCCAAGTACTAAAAGGAGGAAAAGGGAAGGCCCCCACTTTCAAATCCACAATCACCCTTTAGTATGAGAAGTTTGACAAGCAGAACTGTGGGTCCGTTTACCAATGCATTATCAACACTTACCAACGTTGCCTTCATTGGCTTTTTCTAGAGCAGTCATTTTACACAAAATTTTAAATTCATGTCAAGATAGAATTAAGAACTACATTTTTTAAGGTGTGCCTGACATGCAGAAAAAAATAAAATTTAATTAATCTCCTTTTTTTTTCAGGAGACAAGAAATACATTTTGCTTGTGGTCTATTGTGTGAAACAGATCTTCCTGAAAAGGAAGCTATTTCTTAGACCTGAAATATTCTCAGGGCTTGGGGAGAAAAATCCATTAAAGAGTTTAATTCTGCTAAAATAAGATCCCTAGCTGCCTTGTGCCTGAGGCAACTCATGCAAGGGGTGCAACTGGAAAACTTGACTACGTGGGCTCTGCTGATATTCCCCAGGATAGGACCCTGTCCAGTGGCCTACACTCCCTAAAACCCCGCCTCAAATTCAACTTCCAAATCATTAATACCACACTACATAGTAAATTTGAGTCAGACCGGTTAGAATCCCAGCCCTGCGACTGTATTAACCACTGGATCACAAGTCTTGGTTTGTTTGCTGGTAAAATGAGTAAAAAACTGATTTACAAATTTACCTCACAAAGTTGTCCTAAAAAATGATTTATACGAAGCACCTAACACAATGCCCAACATACCGTAGGTACTCAATCAATGTTTTCCTGCTCCCCAAGACGGATCCCTACCCAGGACTTATTCTCCTCTAAACATTTTGGGAAGAAACACTAAGTAAGGAACAATTCTACAGGTAGGCAACTCTACAGATAGATTTGTTTCTCAACCAAAACAGAATACAAACACTATTTGTTTAAAAAATGTTTGCTCCGTACTAATCATATCCCAAGTACTCACCTTCACTAATTTATCCCAAAGGGAGATTACGCTTGTCAATACAGGACCTGGGTCTAAATCAACAAGCCAGTGCTACTTTGATTGGTTTCCAATGTGTGTAGTTTAGGACGAAACCTAAAGAAGTTCCCAAAGGATTTCTTATAAATCCTTGGATGAAATTCCAGGGGGCTTTTACCCTAGGGTAGGGGACTCTTTCTCAGATGTCTCATGGACCACAGCCAAGGAGGCTATGTAACTAGGCTCTGCTGGCCTCCAAGCCTGCCTTTATTTAGGTAATCCTGACAAACGAGGCACTCATCACCACGGGGTCAGCTCCTTGGAAAATAGAACTTCGTCCCTCAGTTCCAGCTCATCTTGTTCTGTCCCAACCTGGAGGTGAAGCAAAAATCAAATTGTTTGTGGTGTTAATAGAACTCCAGTTATAGTTCTACTGGCCACCCAGAACTCAGTTCTCTCTCCAGGGTCAGGCCACGCTGACCACAGACATCTCAAAGTGAGCCAGACAACAAGACCTCCCTAGAGAGGGTAACTTCACTCCTGAGTATGGAAGAAAGGACTCAGAATTCAGTTGAAAGCATATCCTCACCACTCAGCCCAACTGGTATCTGTGGACCACCACTGGGCCATGGTTTATGATGAAGCCCCAAGATCTATTTTGAAGCTTGTCACCTACCTGCAGACAATATGAAAGAAGAAAGGAATAAAACCACCTGTCACATGCATATAGTTTGAGTTGTTCTGTTAAAATGGAAAGCCAAAAGGCTTTGACTGTGTCATTTTCTAGTAACAGACAAGAAAAAAGAATGTTTTAGGTAGTTCTCACTCTCCTAGCAAAACAGAATAAAACCCTTGGTCTGATTCCAACCCCATTATCAAAGGACCATTCACCTAATGTAAAAAAGCAGCTTTTCATCAATTTATCATTAACAAGAGCATTTCTACCTAATGTAAGGAAACTGCCCTTCCCCAGGGATTCTGTTAATGGGAGGCTGGAGCCAGACAACAAACATGGGAGCAGGCCTGCCACAGGAGGGAATGCAATATACATGCTCTGTGCTCACAGCAAAAGAGGTTGCACAATGGCCTTCTATAACCACGAGTTCCTGGCATGCTCAAAAAGGAGGGAGGGGGCTGGTGGGAGGAAAATTTAAACTTTCACATGGGCACCTTCTTGAATTTTTTTTTAAATAATCCATGCTTGTTTTCAAGACACGTTCCCCAGTGGCTCTTCGTGCCTGCCTAGCTTTCTCATCCTCTCCTCGTGAACATGCAGACTTGTAGTCTGGGAGCGATGCCACCTGGAAAAATAAGACAATGTAAAGGAGCACATTTTTCAAAGGCTAAGATGTTGCTGTGATTTTCTTCTCAGGTCATCCAGCCTTATACCAAATGCTGGGTGCTATATAAACCTTCTATTGTTATTAACTAATTTAATCCTCCCTCCAGAAATGCAAGAAGTAGGTGCTGTTATTTTTCCATTTTACAAATGAGAAAGACGAGGCACAAAGAGGTTTGATAACTTGCTCTTGGTCACAAAGTTAACACATGATAGAACTAGGATTTGAACCCAAGAACTCTGGCCTCAGAGTGCATGCTCTTAAGCAGTATAGCATACTGCCTGTCAATCCCACTAATAATAAAATAAGAGCGGACAAATTAATATATGACTTGGAACTCAGAGATAACCAGTACATAACCAAGCATTCACAATGGTAATGTTGGATTTTTCGATTAGACTGTAGACTTTGGAGTCAGAAAGACTCAAATTCAAATCCCAGGCAGGCTCTACCCTATTGCATATTAGTCAATTAAACTTGAACAGTTGACTATCCCAAGCCTCACTTTCCCATCTTTAAAATGGAGATCACAATAGTACTTACCTGGTAGAGTTGTGAGAATTAGATAAATATAAGCACACTTGCATGATTCTGCAACATATTTAGTGCTCTATAAACGTTAGCTATAATAATTATCATCACCCCCTTCATTACTTACTGCATATGTAGCTTTCCATTGCAGGTGAGCATCTGGAAGAAATGAGCCTTCTTCACTGCATCCAGGCCCCTCCTGCTTTCAAAAGCCCACACGTGTGAGATGACTGGTGGGGATTAGGGGTATCAGCCACAGCTAAGGATCACAGCAAAGCTAAGGGGCTCATAGGGACCGAACCCCTCAACCTTGGCTTCATTAGCAAGTTTCTCTTGCTGAGCTAACCCAGCCCATGCCAGTCAAGCATTCCCTTGCAAATATAAATCATTACCCAATAAACCACAGACGTACAAGAGTGTCCACAGCAGATAAAGCCGTGGGTCAGAGTAGGCACTCCCTGAGGCTTTGAGAAAGGGAGAAAAAGCAACAGCATTAATTATATAAACAGTTACTTGGAAAATGCTTTCAGCAAGTATTTTAGATTCCCCTTTAATTGGGATAAATAATTACTGCACTTTCATCTTTCAATGAGCTCTCAAACTCTCCTATGCCCTGTCTTCAAATACTGACTAGAAACACAAAGATCGGGGCCATAAACTAACTGTGCAGACTTTAAAGCCACTTTGTCTGTCTGGATCTCCGCTTCACCATCTGCACAATGAGGAGACTGGACGAGGTGAGTCTCCGAGGCCCCTTCCAGGAGATTTTCCACAACTCCATGCAGTGCTTTGGGGCTGACATAATGGCTACACTGCTTTAGTCACCTCACGTTCTTTTCTAGAGAGCAGCATAACATTTGAAGATATTAATGGCACTTGTTTATTGAGCTTCCAAAACTGTTTTACAAATGCAAACATCAAGGCATCTAGCAATTCTGCAAGTGTGTTGTGAAATAGGGAAACCCAAAATAACAGGCCTAAAAACTGTCTAGAGACTAGCTCAAATGAGGAATGGTTGAAAGAACTGAAGATGTTTTTGGGAAAGGACAGTTATTTCTTTCAATTAGACTTATTCTGTGTAGCTGCAGAACTGGAATCAATGAATTAACATCACAGGGAGAGAGATAGCAAACAACATTAGAGGAAAGAGCTTCCCACCCAAGATAATGGTTCAAAATGGAAAAAAAGGAAAAACATTTTCTGTTGCTACAAGCAGCACTTAAAGAAATGTGAAGACTTCCTATCAAGATGCGTAGAGGAAATTCCTCAATTGGGACAGTAAATGGAGGGATGTATGCTGAGCGCATATCCCCTCTGAGAGTCTGTCCTGACTCCCCACAGATCATTTATAACTTCTTCATCCATGCTCCCTAAACACCACTTCAATAGCTCTCATAGAGCACTTACATGTGACGTTATAACATTTGTTTATTGGTGTCACCCTCATCAAAACAAGAGTGTCTTGTTATCCTTTGTATACATCTGTCACAGCTCCGAGCACATAGCAGATTCTCAGTAAGTATTGGTTGACTAATAAAAAAAAATAGTGACCAAGTAGTTTAAAAAGACTGTCCTTGCCCTCAGAGAGGCTTACAATCTAGCCAAAGAGTCAAAATTCACATAGCTGAATCAAATTTTATACAGTTATATCTAATATCTTGCACACTGTTGGGACTTAGTAAATGTTTAGGAAACAAGTTCATTTGACAGCAATGAAGCGTTAAGTGGTGGCAAGAGTTCATTCAATGAAGAGAAGCTGCTGAGCCTGGCCTGGAGCGGCCTCCCAAACTTGGCCTCCGCCTGCCTGAGTGTACTTTCCTCCAAAACACCAGCTGATTCCTCACAGTCTCTCAAACTCACTCACCTTCTCACTCCTGCACTTTGGCTCAAGATCTGCCCATCACCTGGAACACCCTCCCCACCCTTCTCTAGAGCACCAAGGCCCTTCCCGCTCCAGCATTCTCTATCACTCACTTACCTTTTAATAGTAAGTACTAGCAATAGTAAGTAAATACCGTTAAATAGTAATTTAATATCCATTCACTAAGCAGTCACTGACTCTTCAGTATGCGTGGGCTGAGCTAAACTTGGAGGTTACAAACGGAGGAGACACATTTCCTGCCCTCAAGAGGCTTAAAGTTCACTGGAAACTAAACACTGTCTATTAAATGAACAATTTTAATGCATAATGTCATGAAGGAAACATTGAGGACAGCACTTAACACAGTCTGCAGGTGACGATGGATGGTGGAGAGGAAAGTCAGACGGGGAAAGCTTCCTGAAGGAGGTGTCCAGAGCAGAGTCTTGAAGAAACGACAAAATTGAGCCAGATGAAGAAAGAAAAGATCCTTTCAGGCAGAGTAGCATGCTCAGAGGCTGCAGGAGGAGAAAGCACAGTGAATTGAGCATGGCAAGCATTGAAGAGGCAAGAGATGGGCATAGAGAAATAGCATGAACAGAGTAGGGAAGAATATGCTATGTTGAAAAGCCCACCTTTTATCCTCAAGCTAATGGAGAATTTTTGAAGGATTATAAACAAGGAAATGACATGACCAGATTTGCCTTTTACAATGTTAATTGAGGCAAGAGTGGATTGAAAGGAAGGTCAGACCCTCGGCTGAGAGCATGTCAGGAAGCTATTTTTTTTTTTTTAAAGATTTCATTTTTCCTTTTTCTCCCAAAGCCCTCCAGTACACAGCCGTGTATTTTTAGTTGTGGGTCCCTCTAGTTGTGGCATGTGGGATGCTGCCTCAGCATGGTCTGATGAGCGGTGCCATGTCTGCGCCCAGGATCCGAACTGGCGAAACCCTGGGCCGCCGAAGCAGAGCGCATGAACTTAACCACTCGGCCACGGGGCCAGCCCCTCAGGAAGCTATTTTAGTGAACCATATATGAAGTGAACTGAGACAGGCTCAGTGGGGAAGAAGGGAAGGCACAGGTAATTCTGAGAAGGCTGATCTACAGGATTGGATAAGTTATATTGGAAGCCAGAGTGACCAGAGTCAAGGATACCTCCCAGGATTCTGACTGGAACAGTTGAGTGGACAGGGATGGCAATTACTGAGAGAGAAATACAGTACGAGGAAGGACTTTAGTGAGGAAAATGGTGAATTTCCTTTTAGACCTGATGAGTTTGAGATGCCTTTGAGATAGTCAAGAAGGAGACAGTTGAATACACAAGTCAAAAACTCGGGAGTAAGAACTAGGGTGGAGATGTGCATTTGGGAGTCAGGGAGAATACAAATGGTGGAAACCATGAGATCGTGCAGAGTCTGTGAGTGGGGAGGATAAGGCATCACCACTCCATCCCAAACCTGCTTCCAAAAAGCGGAAGAAACCAAAAGAGAGCTGGGACCATCTGCTTGTCCCAAGTCATCACTGCCCCCAAGAAAAGGAACAAAGATTTTTACGAATGCAAGTGGGTCAGGGGTTTGTCAGCTTGTGATTATTTCTCAGTTTAAATGCTACCTTTTTTTTCTGTAATTGGAGAAACTTTGAAAGTTGACCTTTGCTGTAAATCTGCTGGCCATTGTCACCCCTGATTTGATTGTGCCCTTTCTCTCTCTAATCTGTCCTCTCCTTTTTCTGAGGAGGTAGAGAGCTGGCATAAAGGTTGGAGTTCTTTTTTTAACTGACAAAAGCTCCACTTTCTTTTCCTGAAGGTTGTTTCAGCCAAACCACTTTATTTTGCTGTTTCAGTTTCAAAATAAAAGGAAACTTAAACTGAAAGAAAGGAAAGGAATGCCCCGTAGATCTGAAGGTGCTTGAAGTCTTGAAGAAGTGCTGCAAGGATTATTACTTTTCCCTGTGCCTGTCTGTCTTGTCACCCTAAAGCAATTGTAAGCTCCCTGAAGGCAAAGAGTCAACTTCTGTGTGCATGTGGGTCCAACATGGCAACAGCAAGGTACCCGACATCTAGAAACTGCCCAGTGACTGTTTATGGAATCAATGGCTGTTCATATGATTAGGCTCATTCAGGTCTGCAGCTCTTGGAGTCTTCCATACTAGTTGACACAATTAATTTCTGTGTCTTGTTCTTTGGTTATTGCCTGGGTGCTACCCTTGGAACAGCAGTTAGGCGGTAAGTTTCAGGAAGACAGGAATATTCGCTCATACTTTATCTTGTATTGAATGCTGGCCGGAATCGATGCTCAATAAAGGCTCATTGATTCACATGTGTTGTGTTTTCTAGAATGAATTTATCCTGCTACGTTACACCTTCTGAAAGACAAAAAAGATGTCTGTCTCACATGAGCAGGACTAGAATAAGCTATTCTGAAGAACATCCTAAAACAGTAGGTGTTCCTGTGTGTCACCTAATCGAGTAATTCATTCAGGAGAATCTCTACTGAATTAGAGTTCGACAGACTGCACGTGGGCTGCGCTGTGACCTTCAGTTGGTGATATACATTTCATAGGCAGATTCACAAGCAGCATCAGCAATGAGGTATATTCCTTGTGAATGAGATCATCAACAGCTTCCAATGCAATGCAGGATATCTTACCCACTACACAGAGCTTATGGAAAAAGGGAAAGAGGAGGGAGAGAAAGAAGAAGACAGAAGAGAACGAGAATGTATTCTGGGAGGTAAAGGAAGAAAAAGGATTTTGCTCATCACGAGAAATCAGCATCAATAGACTCCAGCCCAGACAGACCAGGAGGGCACTGCACAGCCTCCACGTGGCTGCACAAAGATCATCTTCATTCAGAAAGAATTACAGTAAACCTTCCCAGAAAGAATCACAACAGAATAACCAAGTTTCTTTAAAATATTCCCACTTTGACCCCAGCAACAGAATGAATGCCATAATCTCTTCAATCATATGCTGATAATTATTAAGAGTCACCACTAGTTGGCTTGTCACTTTGTCAAATACAGATGGCTATACATTTCCCTTTTCTAAGAGTCCATAGAGACCACCCAGAAATGGAGCATCAGTGGAGAGATCATAGCCCAGAGAGGTAAGCAAGCAGCCTCCAAAGGTGCTCAGGAAATAAGAGACAAATGCCTAGCAAGACACGAGAGGGGATGTGCGGCTGTGAGCCCGCATGCGCAGAAACATATCCAGGGCGATTGTGCCCTGGGCATGGGAAACCACAGGGTGATGTGCACATGGATGAGAAAGAAGAGCATAGTCCCTAATTCCTTCCTTCCTTTCTTTTTTAACGTTTAGACAAGCAGGCGTTCTGACAAATTACAGTCACTGTGCTAGTGCAGAACTCCAGGGCCTACATCTGAAAGTTTGAAAACCTGACTCAGCAGGATAGTGTAGAGTAAGCTGATTTCTAGTGTATGTGCACCCATAAAGTGGTCCTTAAAATACCGAAGTAATTCTGCATGAGTTAGTAAATCGCTGCGGCCCCAAGCCTCTGAGTGCCCACAGGCTGCCTGAGCCTTTCTTCCCAGGACCTGCCAGATCTCTCCACTAAAGGGTTAAGGCCTCACTGCAGTGGGCCTCTGGGTACCTGCGCCAGGCTGTCATGATAATCTAGTGTTTGCATCATCCTGATGAGCATCTTGTCTCCCTATAGGACAAGAAGCCCAAATCTCAGATGAGCATGGAATCAAACAAGTGCTAGCCTGGCTGAAAATGGGCCAAGATGGCCATAACTATGGAGGCACAAGTTGTGTTTTCATTTCTGCTCTGTGAGCTCACTTGGCTTCCATAAAATTTGCATATTTTTGGCTAATTATATCACAAACCTATAATGCATCTGAGTGGGGTGTCTTCCCCCCAAACTGTAAGCCCCTAAAAAGCTACTAGTCCTCAAACAGCAGGGGCCCACCTAGTCCTAAGCTCGATGACTTAAATCCACACCTAGACACAATTTCAGCGCAGCTGTTGGACATCAAGGATAGGGAGAAAATCCTAAACCATATCAGAGAGGGAAAGATGGAACACATAAAGAGGAATGACAATTAGTTCCTCAGAAGACTTGAGTAAGAGTAGATGCCAAAAGCCACAAATAATATCTTCAAAATGCATATGGAAAATTAGTCCCAACAAAAAATTCTGTATGTAGCTAAACTAGTCTTTAAGAGTGAGAGCAAATAAAAGATAGTTGACTGGTCATAGCTCCTCTCTGAGATGTACGTCACCATGTATAAGAAACAGCGTTAAGTAAAGAAACTGATAAACTTTTGGTAAATTTGAGTAGAAATTAGCTATTATTAAGAATAACGATGACTACAATTTTGGGGGATTAAATCCAAGTAAACCTAAAGTTACAAACAAAAAAAATATGAAAATATGCAGAGAATGTTCAGATTAAAAGTGTCTTAAGGTCTATATATTATTCAGAAAAATAATGGAGATTTTGTTTGGGGATTTTGCTACATTAAGGATGCACATTAAACATTTAAAGAACAGCCAATGGGAAAAATAGAAATGGAGTGAAACTCCAAATTGTGGAGAGGAAAAGATGGGACAAGTAAAGGTAATCTGCTCAATGAAATAGAAAATAGGGAAGGAATGGGGAAGAAGCATAATAACTTTTTACTAAACTAAGACAATAGAAATGAGTCTAAATATGTCAACAATCATTAAAAAAGTAAATGGATTACATTTACTGTTACCTGTAAAAAGCTAGAAATTCTCAGATGTTTGGAAGATCGAAGACAAAGCAAAACAAATTCCAACTATTATGTGATGTTTATGAGAGATACATGTGAAACTTAACGACATAGAAAAAGTTGAAAGGTAAAGGACTGGCAAAAATATACTGAGCAAATATTACCTGAAATAAATTTGTTGTAGCAATAGTAATAAGATACAAAATAGAGTTCAAGGCAAAATGCAATAATAGAAAAATGCTGTAAAGGCCATTGGTGGTGCAAGGTGGACAGTCTTTCTGGGGCAGGGTGGGTGGGCCTTAGCCATGAGGGTATGGGACAGGTCCAGGGGAAAGGCCAGGTGGTGAGGGTCAGAACCGGTCAGCCAGGGCTGATGGCGACAGTTTTCAGCAGCAGAACTTATACCTGGCCTAAGCCTACTTGGGCAATTTGTGGGCCCAGTGCTTCAAGCAGCAGACCTATAGTCATTTGACAGTCGAGTGACATGGTGCCCCCAACTAGTAGGGACCCTGAGGTCTGTTAAGATAGTTCTTATTTAATGATGGAAAGGAAATCCCTGCCAGCAACATATTACAGTCATGAACTTGCATGCACTTAACTCAAACCACAGAGAAAAATTTATCCTATCGCAAAGGGAAATTTACAAATCCACGATTATACTGGTCTTAACATACCTCATTCAAAAAATATGCATAAAGCAAAAAGAAAAAAGTAAACCTACAGAAAAATTGGACAATTAAGCTTGCTCCCACTGACAAAGGGAATCTCGTAATCAAGAAAGAGAGGCCACATGATTTTTTCAAGCACACATGGAGCAGTTATGAAAACTGAGCTCATCTTCACAGACAACCTATGAGGTAGGTATGTATCGTCTCATTTTACATATGGGAAACCCGAAGCACTGAGGTTAAGTAGCTTGTCCATGGTCACACGACTGGGATACAAGTGGAGCAGGGCTACAAACCCAGACGTGCTGATTCCAGAGTTCAACTTTTTGAGTAATAGAGGCAAGAGCAAAGAACTAACAAAATAGAAAACTGAGAAACAGCAGAGGTGTCCAATAAATCAAAAGCTG